ACGCCTGGAAGTTCAATCCATATATAATATATACACACGCCTGCTATCACGCTGTAGGCTCGTGATAAAGGTCATTTGGAATTGGAAACTGTGTCGTCAGATTTAAATTAACATTAAATCGGCACCTGATTACTTCGTTGGAACATACCACTAATAGTCCATGTTATTTAGATCAATAATGTCCTTGTGTAGAGCTCTATACTGATGTCAGGCTACAAAATATACCACAGTTCTAATGGGAGTAAAAACGATACACGCCACATTTTATAGAAAAGTCCCAATGGCTGCTCCCTAGACCGCCCTACATACGTAGAAAAATTTTGATCTTCAGCTTTCTGTTTGTTTATTGTTGCTACAAGTACGGTACAGGTGATGGCTAGATCTGCGGGTGTTTGGGCCAACATAATGTCCACTTTTCAAGCTAAAATGGTGATTGGACTCGGAATGTGTACAGGAACTTATATATGGATTGTTATACATAGAATGTTAGAAACATTTGGAGCCGCACCTAATATAGGCCAATGTTAGCGTATTCAAACGATGTCCGTCCTTTAAAATTACTGAAGTACCTGGACAATCCAATTCCATTTAGGTGAACAGGTCAGTATTTGGTTGAACAAACGTAGTGCAACCAATATTTTAAAACATAAGTTCTACTTGCTAAAAGGGTTTATTTTGTCAGCGTAGCTAAGAGACGATCGTTCGCGGTAAGATGGCGTTTATTTACATAAGTCGCACTGGTATGGATTGGGGAATTCCCTTTCTGTTCTTCACGTCAGCAATCGATATATATATATGTGTGTATCAAAGCTGACACGCTCGTGGCACCTGTACAATATTTTGTAACGGGTATTACTTTGACAAAAATGTATAATTTAGTTTCATCAAACTTTTAAAACAATTACTGAGTATGTAATTATAACAGATTTACATTTTACCCATTATTTACGAAATGGCAACATGCATGTAAAGAAGGCACAACTGTTTTTAGTTTTAAAATTGTAATTAATATGCACAATATCAAAAACGCAAGTGCTTACGCTTGAATTGTCGAGCTAAAAGAGAGAGAGAGGGGGGAGGGGGATGCTGCTGCCGATGATGATGATGATGAAGGAAGACACTGAAAGTAAATAAACAATGTAGTTAAATCCAATTTGTGTCTGTCCCGATATTTAACATCTGTGCTGCATTTAAAATTTACACTAAAATGCCCTCATTGCCACAAGTAAGGAAGGGGTGTTTACAGTAATTCCTGCTGAGCCAAATTCTGATGTGATAGTATTTACTGTGAAAGATAACATAAGCTTAGAATTTGTTTTTTTTTCTCCTGACAATACGTACACGCACAAGGACATAATTAAGTAACTTTTTTTAAAATTAAATAGTTATTTCTGTCACCAGCACTAACATCGTTCTCTCATCATATTGCAATCAGCGTTCGGAACTTATTTTGTCAAATATCCTGTATGTTTTCTCGGAATAAGGTGAGGAAGTAAAACCCCAGGCCTACTTAAATTAATCCTTTAAATTCCGGATTTCACAAAACTAGTACGGCTATGACACTAGAGAAGACTAACCAGGTAAAAAAAGAACATTTCTTTTCTGCCAATAACGTTTTAATACCTGTCGTCTGTATGCTTATAGTTACAGTAGCCTACGCGTGTTAAAATACTAATTAGTTCATGAAACTAATATTAGTGAAATGCATGTATTCCGTACGTGTCTTATGTACGCTATGTGAGCTGAAGCTTCCTGGTCCAAGACTAGCATATACATGATATGTATGTGAGCAATAGGACGAAGATCTGGTCTGACTGTGTTACAATGAGTAGCAATAGAAATAGATTAGCGATAAGAACTTTAAGTGTCTAAAAGGGCAGTGTAACCAGCAGTGTGTATCATAGACGATTCTTATTGTATTTTTAAATAAATATTTTAATATATTTTATGTATAGGCCTATTTTTATGCATATAGGGCCTATTATTTATAGGGCCTATTAATTTCATGATTCATTTTTCGTTCTTCATAGTTAAATATTAAATATTATCAGATATTGGTATATTTTAATTTGTCACACATTGCAGACAAATGAATCAGCAATTGATCATTACTCCAATACACTATTACTATTATCAGCAATGTAATAAGCCTATTATTATTCAAAATATCTAGCTAGTAACCTGAGTAGGCTTAATGCTCTTTTAGTAAGTCTTATTTTTCTATTTCAAACAAATATACCAGTACCAGTGAACAATGTGTAAACATTTTTTGTCAAAGCGTAACTCGGCTCGATGGCCTGACTGGATAACCCAACACACCCACCCACCCACACCCTACCACCGCGTGCTCGGCCGTATTGTAGGCTACTACGCAACCTACTTAACATGCCATCAGCTTAAATAGCCACAAGTACTCACGTCACTAACACGTCACCTCTTGACGGTCACGTCAGCGTTTGTGAGCCATATGTTACATAAAATTAAGAGAATACTGTAAGAAAAGGTAGGCCTGTTCTGTTACACAGTTGTAAAACGTCACTTGTGAAATATCAGTGTTGATCTAAACTGACCATAAAATTATGAAGGTAACGTTATATAACCCCTCCGAAAATTTCAAATAGTATGTCCTCCATAGGACTCAATAGGACTTTATAGGAACTCTACAGGACTTTATAGGAACTCTACAGGACTTTATAGGAACCTTACAGGACTCTACATGAACCCTACAGGACTCTATGCCTCTATAGGATCCCTACAGGAGTAATATGGAGACCCTACAAGACTCTATGCTGCACATAATGGGACTCTATGGGAATTCTATCAGACGTCCCGGGGACGGGCGGATCCAGGATTATTTGAAGGGGGAGGGGGTGGATGTGTGGGGTTCGGGGCCCGATGAAGGGCCCCGAAAATTTTGGTATTTTAGAGGGCGAACGGTGGCATTTGGTACAGTTTAGAACTATTCAGTTGGTCAAAATTCTTATTTCAAGAGGGGACCATTGGTGTGATTTTTTCAGCAATTGAAAGGGGGGGGGGTCAGGGTCGACGCCCCTGACAACCCCTAAACCCGCCACTGCATCCTATATAAGACTTTGTCCTACACTAGGGTGATGTACCCTAGGTTCCAGAGTTCGGTATTGCCAGCTCGATCTTGATTACTTATAAAGCCCACTTCAGAGCAGCTGGTTATATAGCGCCCTGATTGCTCAGGGCAGAGTGATGGGAATTTTGGGCCATTTTCTCGCAGGACGCCTTACATTTGACACTATAGGAAATTTCCGTAAGGGTACACATTGGTGATTTTATGAAAGACGTTCTTTTTGCATTATGGTACACTAGTAGCTATAGTATGGTATTATGAAGTTGTTTTCTGTGGAAACAAGGAGACAGCCGAGCGTGGACCAGTGCGTATTGTGTTGTATAGTGCCATCTATCGGAATAAGCTGTATTGAATAAATCTTTACGAACGTGGCAACGCAGACATAATCTGGACCATTAGCTATTGGGGATAGCCATATAATAAGGCAGCTTTAATGTTGCTGAGTACGGAGTAGAATGCTTCTCTGCACTGAGACTGGAGTATGCTTTTACTCTAGGTAACCTTAGCGTACCGTACTTAAAAGGTAGACAGTCTTATTTTTCTAAAGCTTTTAAGAAAGTCTTATTTTTCTAAAACTTTTTAGAAATTTTAGAAAGTTTTTCTTCACTTTTGCGCGATTACAACCTTTGAGGTAGAAATCAGGTCAAGGTCGCCATTTTCGAGGTGAAGTCCACAACAAGGCTTGAAGCAACTAGCAAAGGACAGAATTTGACATCATGAAAACCCCAATTTAATCATTCAGACTGTAAAGTTTAGACTTAAGTACCAGAAAAAAAGCTGCAAAAATGTATGCAACATGGTAGTGCAACGTAGGTATAGATACAGTAACATACATATATTGGCAAACTAATTAGGATTTCTTCAACTACTCTTTGTAAGATAGGGGCCGTAGCAATAGTCGGAAGGTTCAATAGTCCTAAGGTTCATTGGTCCGAATATTCACATAGAACCTTCGGACCAATGAACCCTTGATTAAGAAATCGATGAAAATGTTACCACTTTTAGGACCAATGAACCTTCTGTCCAATGAACCTTCGGACCAGCGAGACGCCCCCGTAAGATAAGACTGATTATATATGGATCATTTTGATTGCCAAGAAGTTAAATAAAACATCTTTCTGGTGCAATGGTAAGCTTATTTTTATGATGTAGAACCCAAATGTGATCTCAGAGAGGTTTGCTATGCATACCTAGTGGTCTGTATTGGTCCATTTCTGTCCATTTCTATCTTTTAAAGGACCCTTAAAGTGCATTCCCATAGATTTAGATCGATCCCTTAATTAGATCGACCTAACTTCCTGGGGGTTCACGCTAAATTGTTGTCAGCCGAGGGCGCACGGTAGTTAATTACCCCCTTACAGCTTTTAGTAGGCGGGACAGACTTTTAAGCCGGCTAAGCTGACAGTAATCTAGTGAGACTCCCCACAGGGATAGATAGATCGATCTAAAATCTGTGGGAATGGGGTCCTAGAATATGCTACATGTACAGCGTATCACTCTCAGAGCAGTAGTAGTGAGAGTGATACATGTACAGCGTATCACTCTCAGAGCAGTAGTAGTACTGGCTTTTACAATGGTTGTTGCTACCAAACTCAACTGTCATGTTGATTGGTTGATCATTGACCTGGTAAATGGCTTTAAAAACCTCAGAAAACACTGTACCAGTCAACCATAATGAAATATATATATATATATATATCAAAAATGATTGAGTAATTTTAAGAAATTAAAAAAAAAATGCTCATATAAAGTATCTCCCATAGGGACAATGCCGCAATGTCTCCATGGAGGGACATTTTACTCATACATGCTTTGTGATAACTTGCCTAATCCCTATAAAATGAAACATTCTTATGTTATATAACACTGATAATATTATAACATTTGTTTACACTTACAGAGTAAATTGTGATGTCCCAGCTATCGTCCAACCTACGAGGCTCTGCTAGCTACGTATGGTCAACGAATGATCCTCTCGGGCAGGGAGCCACGGGAGCTGTATACAGGTGTCGACACAAGGTGAGAATACTTATAGCATGGATGTGGCACCAATACCACCTTGCCATGGGGCCCTGAAAATATGTTTAGAGCTGCAGTGTTTAATTTTTAAACCATCAAATTCACAAATCACAGTAAATAAATCTTTATTCATATTTTACTGTTAATGCGAGTCGTTTCAAGTTGGGTGAGGAATAAAAACCTGGATTCATGAGTCATGGGAATGGGGTGCTTACTTGTCGAATGCTTGTTAGTATTCCAGTTAATGTAGATGAACTTCACAAGATAAAAGAAATGGAAAATTGTCAGCTTAAATCTTTGAGGCTATTGCTTAAAAATCTTATCAACAATTAAGTAATTTTTCTGTCAAGTAATGATGGGAGCCTGTCAAATGATTGAAAACATATAAGCTTCCTAGATTTAAAAAGAAATACATATTGATAATAAAACTGCCTCTGTGTTAATATTGAAAATGATGTCAGCTAATTCATGCAATGTTTTAGGTAAATTTAGTAATAGTTATCTTTGTGGATGACTTGAAGTCTAGAATTTAATATTTAAAATAAGCAGCTGTATAGCCACTCTGTCACTACTAGACTGCAATATTGTAAAATTCTTAGTTATCAGAATGAATTGGCAATCCTCCACCTATAATTTGATGCCCTCAGCACTAATACCATTGTAAAGGTTTGTACACATACACAATATATATCTGTTTATCAGTGACCTAAGCAGCGAATCTGAAGCGCCCACACCTTGATAATCAATAGGTTCTATTTGGTGTCAGTCAGTCATACATTGACATTTCTATGACTAAAATGTATAAAGTGTATTTTATAAAAGGTGTAACTATTGGTGTTGAACTGGAAAATGACTAAATATGAAGCTGCATTATTCAGTAGTATAGATAAACTGTCACAAGTCAATGTGTCACCCACGCATGGCACCACACCCTGCCACCACGCGTCTTTCACGCGTGGCACCGCACCCTACTTGTGGGTGGCAGTTTGTCTGTATATAAAGCACTTCAGAAGCTTAGCTTGTCAGGATAAGTTATTGACAATACCAGACCTGCTACTAGTACAGTACATATGATTCTCTCGGCTCAAGGGACTGATTAAGAGTGTTGTTCTGCTCTCTCTCCCTAAGGACAATGTGTCCCAGCATATAATAGTGACTCACATTTACAAGTTGTGTTTCTTTTCCAACAACTTGAAAGTTTTCAGCCAAAAATTTATATTCTAAATTTTGAATAACTTGACCATAAAAAAAATTGTTTCTTCTCAAGTGAAATAAGCAGTGTAGTTGCTAACCTACCTTTTGGCTGTCTGCCAAACCAATATTGCCAGTGGGCTTGATCTCCATGGTAACGCTTTTTATTGTTTTTTCCACTAATTTATCCCTCGGGATATGCTCCAGTCCATCCTAACTGTGACCTGTCTCTTCTGCATACAGCACTGCACAGTGTTGCTCTGATCAAACTTGAAAGATTTACCTTTGTTTTTCATTGTTCCACATGCACTTATATTCATCCGTCATGACATGCGTTGATAACATTATGGTTTGTGGTGTTAAGCTATGTCCCGTGTCCCGTGCCATGCATTGTGCAACACTTGGTGACTGCCACAGTTTGCTGCACATACATCTGTAGGATGCAAAATATCATTAATTATGTTGAAAATACCCATCAGAGTTCAAACATGAACAAATGACAAGATAATCGACATCGTAATGTGAGATAAAGTAGTTCTTACCCATTGAGCTGGTGTATGAATACAAAATTATCCAGTCAGGAGATTTTATGTAGAGGTGACACATATCGATACTGGCACTCCTTCAAGGGGAATCCCCTTCTGTCAGTAACCAATCAAATGTAAGGTCACAGGGAGAATTCCTTAACAAAATTTTCAGACACACAATCTCCTACAGGTTGATATTTTAATAATTGACTATTGAAATTAACTTCTTTGGTGTTGTTTATACATACTACTTCTATATAAGATTGACCCATAGCATCTAAAATGGTCCAACACCTCACTTAAATGCTTTTTTTTTATTTTGGAACCTCCCTTAACACATAATGGTCATTTAGTATGGTTGTGTTTTGATACATACACATGTTCTTGTGTTTGTTTATTTTATAATGGGAGATTAAACTCCTAGCAATAAAAGAAAGTAGAAAGAGCAGCTCTGTTTTGCACCTGAAAACGGCCTTTGTTGGATATTTTATACTTGGTTAAATTTTGCACAAAGTATTTCTATTATATTATAATTTTTAGAATTATAATAAGCTATTTTGTACAAAAATATGATTTTCTCTATTTTCAATAAATCCATAATGGCTATTTATTTTAAGAATTCAGTTTGTGGTATTGCTTATGTTAAAACTATAATGATAACTTAGTATTAAAAAAAATTGTATGATAGTTTATCATTTTTCATTATTTTTTCCCATTGTTTTATTTAATTAAAGATGCTTTTGAAGTCATATTTTTGCCACATATATATAATCCTTGGTTGTTTTTGTTTTACTTTCTATCTTATCCCCAGTGTACAGGAGAAGTGTTTGCTGTGAAGACCTTTAACACGGTCAGTCACTATTGTTTTACTTTCTATCTTATCCCCAGCGTACAGGAGAAGTGTTTGCTGTGAAGACCTTTAACACGGTCAGTCACTATTGTTTTACTTTCTATCTTATCTCCAGCGTACAGGAGAGGTGTTTGCTGTGAAGACCTTTAACACGGTCAGTCACTACCGTCCACTTGATGTCCAGACCAGAGAGTTTGATGTGGTCAGGAAGTTAAACCATAGAAATATTGTGTCCATGGTGGCCATTGAGGAAGAGGTCAGTACAGCCACCATCTGGCTAGTTCTAGAAATAGGAATATTTTATTTATTTAATTTATCATATCAGTATATTTACCAAATAAATTAACCATGCCAAAAGTGTTGTCTTTTTTTTTTTTAAGTTTTTTTTTCACATAAACAAAGGATACAACCAGCAGCATGCAATGATATATAAAAATGAACCAACACCTGTCAATGAGGAATGAAACCTTCACAAAGAAAAAAGAAAAAGGAAAATTTCTTACTATTGAAAAAGAAAACTGAAGGGCCAAAGATCCTTGTTTTATTATTGTTTTAGTTGCGTTCTTTTGGCTGTCTTTTTCTTACAAGAGAGAATGACTGTTACGTAGATTCAGAAAATGATTCAGAAAATGCCACTACAATTCACACAGACACGAAATTGTGTTTTGGTCTGAGTTTTTTTTTTTTTTTTTTTTTTTTTTTTTTCATATACAAAACAGGTTAATCATTATGTTTGTAAGAAAAAGCTGTCATTTAAGACATGTAATAAACATAAGACTTTTATTTAGAGAAATGTTTCTGGAAAATTCAGTTCTTTTCTGCCATCCTTAATCACCAAGTTATACTGTATTCAAAGCAGTACACATACACAGATGTATTTTTTTAGTTATTTAGTCTCTTGCATAATGAAGATAAAGACTGGTTAATTTCATTTTTGGTGGTAATTATTTGAAATTAAGAACTCGAAAACTTTTTTCGTGGTTTCAGATTGGGTAAGCCTTGGTCGTAGACTGAACATTTGATAAAATTTCCAGGAATTTTTCTTAGTGCTGTATAAATAATGTCTTATGTTCCTTGTTTACCTGTAAAGATTTATTTTCTCTCTTCAGCAACATACAAGGAACCGTATCATTGTGATGGAACTGTGCGACTGCTCTCTGTACAACATGTTGGAAAAACCAGAGAACGCATTTGGTCTGGAAGAGGTTGAATTTCTGGAAGTATTAAATGATGTTGGTAAGTTGGTGGAATATGTGTGTAGTATTGTGTGGGTGGAAGTCTGGAATGAAGGAGACGTCACATGATGTTGGTAGCTATGTAGCTGGATTATACATGGATTTTTGGCGAGTGTCATAGTTTAAGACTAACTGATCATTGATATGACATAGTTGAATGTGTGTATTTTGTTGCAGCTGAAGGTATGAGATATCTCCGTGTTTAATGTGTGTATTTTGTTACAGCTGAAGGTATGAGATATCTCCGTGTTTAATGTGTGTATTTTGTTACAGCTGAAGGTATGAGATATCTCCGTGTTTAATGTGTGTATTTTGTTACAGCTGAAGGTATGAGATATCTCCGTGTTTAATGTGTGTATTTTGTTACAGCTGAAGGTATGAGATATCTCCGTGTTTAATGTGTGTATTTTGTTACAGCTGAAGGTATGAGATATCTCCATGTTTAATGTGTGTATTTTGTTACAGCTGAAGGTATGAGATATCTCCGTGATCAGAATATTGTACACAGAGACATCAAACCAGGGAATATAATGAGAAGCATTGGGGAAGACAAACAGTAAGTTATCCTAATCTTATCTTCATATATTATATCCGACATACTTTTTATTCAGGACATTTTGATTGGTGTTGAACTTTCTTTTGATAAATGTGAAGTTTTATCATTTTTATCATCATTAGTGTATACATGAAACAAAACCAGCAGTTGGTGCGAAATTTTTTGCTTCACCTATGACATTAAAGAGCACAATGGTATTGATACATACGTTATACAGATACATATGTTACCAAACTGCATGCAGATTGTTGATTCTTTTAACATATTTGCAATCAAAATGTATTCAATAAATTTAAAATCATTTTTGACATTATTTTAGGTCTATATATAAATTGACGGACTTTGGTGCAGCTAGAGAGCTGGAAGAGTCAGAACAGTTTGTATCATTGTATGGAACTGAGGAATATCTGGTAAGTTTGTCAAGTTTTTTCAACATGCCAGAAATGTTATTTGTTAGCAGTTTTCTGCACTTAAAGGCAAACTCTGCACAGGATAGCGACTCCACTACATGTACTGGGAGTCAGTTATGATAGTAAACTTCAAAGGAACAGAGAGATATGACTTTGTATACTACATGTGGGAAGGATTTGTTATGATTATTATAGATTACTGCATTGATGAATAAGTAAATGAATAGATAAATTTATTTATAAATAAAGAGAAGGAAAGAAAACAGAAGAATTGCTTAACAGCAGTCATCATGTTGTGTTCTAGTATCCAGACATGTATGAGAGAGCAGTTCTACGGAGGCCTGTCCAGCAGCTGTTTGGGAAAGAGGTGGACTTGTGGTCACTAGGGGTCACTTTGTACCACACGGCCACAGGGCACCTGCCGTTTCAACCCTTTGGTGGAAGACGAAATAAAGAAGTGATGTAAGTTAACAGGGATGAAATATTACACCTCTTGCCACTACAATTTTAACATTTGAAAGTTCATTACATTAATTTAAGTATAAATTTCAAAAACTTACTTTATTTACTTCATACTGAAGAAATGGTATTAAAGCAATGCTAAGAAATGATCTGATTCCAAATTTCAGGCATAAGATCACAGCAGACAAGGACTCTGGTGTGATCTCAGGGATACAGTCTACAGAGAATGGTCCTATAGAATACAGTACAGAACTTCCTAACACATGTCAGCTGTCAAAGTAGGTGTGATGGCTGGCTCTGCCTTTAGAACAGCAGAGAGTTTAGACAAGCTGAGAGTTCAGTTTTTATTCAAGGCTTTAGTTCAATAATAAATGATAAATTTGGTAAATTTGATAGCCTGAAATTGAATTTTTTTTTTTTTAGTCATAGGGTACAATCTTTGCAGCTGTGTTCATAAATAGAGAGTTTGTTTTTTATATTTCAGAGGACTTAAACTTCTAGTCACACCATTATTAGCAGGGCTTATGGAAAATACATCATCAAGAATGTGGACATTTGATCAGTTTTTTGCCACTGTAAAAGACATAATGAAGAAGGTGGTAGTATACGTTTTCTCCACCGCCACCTGTGAATGTTTGTCTATATACATCAACAAGACTGAGACGTACGCCAAGTTTCAAGATGCGATAGCAGAACAGACTGATATCAGAGCAAGTGCGCAGTTTTTACTGTTTCAAAATCACCATTTTACCAAAATAGTGCAATCAATGACACTGGTGGAGAGATATCCAAAGACGTCACCACAGGATCCAGTTTTCTTATATTTCACCGATGTGGATTCAGCATTATTCACCAGACTACCAGAATTGCAAATACGTGAGTGTTTACAAACAGCACTTTCGCATGCAGTCTCTCTCTCTCTCTCTCTCTCTCTCTCTCTCGCGCAGCTACTGAGTATAATGAAACAGCATAATGAGTCCTTGAAACAATGAAGAAAACTAAAAATGTTAACTAATTGGTTGTAGTTAAAGATGTCCTGGAGTGACCCTTTGGTGTAGCACATTACATACAGTATATCTTTTCATATAAATGTGCAAACTTTCAGCCAAATACCCCAAGTTTGGGACCAGCATCTCTCTTGAGAATGACTACCCTCTAGCCAAGAAGTGTGCTGGTAATACAGAGTATATAGTAAGAAAACTGAGACTGATCAATCTACAACAGGTGCTCCTTGATAAAGCTATGACCATGTACATGTGAGTATAGAGAACTTGAGAGATATCTATATAATATACAAGTATAATGTACATGTGAGTATAGAGAACTTGAGAGATATTTATATATATATATGATTACCACGTATGTGTAAGATTGGCCCCATTTAGAATAGGGGACTAACTAGTTAGGGGTTCAAATATGGCGACTCACTACAAAACTTGCCATCTAATCTGCTAATAGACACTAAATAGATATCTGGTGGGGAAGTATTCAAGTGGGTCGGCCATATTTAAACCTCGGACTAGTTAGTCCCCTATTCTGAATGGGGCCTTAGATAACTTGGCTCCAAAGTCTGCCTTACTGGGGTTTTTGCTGTCTATGTTGTGCTTGGATAGATTTTTCGTTATGTTTTTTCAGTGTATTTTTTGTACTCTAGAACCTTTGTGCCTCTTTCTGCCAGTGTACTCTACTTTCTGTAATAGTAACATGCGTGTTCCTGATTTTTTTATTGATAATATATAAACTTCCCTTTGTTGTAGACAAATCATAAAGTTTGAGATATCAGGCTACCAGGAATCCAATGTCTTTATTGTTACCATGATAACGGAGACACACAAGCGTCTGCAGACTGCGACAAGGTCTCTGAACAGGATAGTGCGTGTGGTGCAGGGCTTGGCGTCACTGTGCGGGGAGCAGGCGCCCAATGAGGTGCGGTTTCTAGAGGAGGATTTACAGGTTGCAGAGAATCAGCTTACTGTCCCCTGTCAGGAGGTGAGGGCAGATATATCACAGTATAAGGGCAGATATATCACAGTATAAGGGCAGATAAATCACAGTGTTAGGGCAGATATATCACAGTGTTGGCACTGTTGTGTAGAGTTGTGCTGGATAGTAAGGGCTTGACCCCACTGAAACTATCTTTCTACAATATTGAACTAAATCTGCGGGGTTTCTAGCTGCATGGAATAAGATTAATCCACCTGTTCTTGGGGTTGAGCAGTATGCAGAAAACCTGGTGAATACAGGAGTACTCAGTAAATTGGAAACAAGAGTGTTTAACTGGTAAAATGATCAGAAGTTGGCTCAATCTGTGTAGAAGGATAGTGTCATTGGGTATATATGACTCCTTAGACTTTTAGAAGGACATTAAAAGGATGAGAGACACAGAAAGAGAGAGAGAGAGAGAGAGAGAGAGAGAGTGACAGAGAGGGAAGAGAGTTAAATTGGTAATATATTTGAACAGTAATTCTGCATGTCTTTAATCCAATCCACAGGCAGTAAAATCCACAGAAGAGCTGAAAAGTTACGTCCATCAGTTCTGTCAAGGTGTAGTCATAGATGATGAGTTGTCTAAAAGATGGAAATCAAACTGGGGCTGCTTGGAAACAGAGAGATGGTATGTCTAGTTTGTTGTCAGATTTTTTTACTGTTTGGTGTATAATTATGGATTCACAAACTCAACCTGAATTATTGAACATTGCCAGATGAAGTTTTGTTAACATGCTTATTATGTGTTCTTTTTCTTACTAAAATAAGTGACGGAAATTTATTTTTCACTGCTACTTTTTCTGTCTACTACATGACATTGGAAAAAGTTTGTCAGTTGAGAGACTGTATCTGAGTATTATGGGACATTACTTAGATGATAATTATGGGACATAGATGACTATGATGAGACATAACTTAGTTAACTATGATAAGACATAAAGGCGCTGTACTTCCAGTGTTGAGAAGGGACTGGTCCTGTCAGAGCAGATCAACAAAACTATGGAGGAATTTAAAAGGGACAAACAGTTGAAGAGGTTACCGTACAATGATGAGCAGATTCACAAGTTTGAAAAGTAAGTGCATGTTGGACTCAGATTTCGTTACCTTTAACAGTAATACTCTGTTTGCAATTGTAACCTTAATTAATTAGCATCAAGACATCTCCATTCCAACCGTTGTGACATTCCTTTTATTTAAATGGTACTTTCTGTATTATCCAGGAATAAAATGAATGAAAACTGCACCAAGGCAACGTCTCTTGCAATGGATCATTGTTACCCAAACCTCAGAAAAGTTTTCAAGAAATTTGAAGAAGCTTTCTTGTAAGTTGTTTTAGCAGTAGAACATGACACTCAGTGTCTGACAAGAAGCTGATGAGATCTAAGGGCTGTTTAAATTTCCATGAAACATTTTTTTTTTTTTGTTAATTTGCATAGATTTGTTTAGATTTGTAATTGTCATATTAATATGTTTGTAATCAGTGTCTTGAAATGAATTGATCGCTCATACATTCATATATAATCCCAGGTTCCTTATGTAAGTATTATATAATGTATACCACTTTGAATAAGAGTAATTATTTTTCTACAGGTTTGTCTGTACATTTATCACTAAGCTGGGCAAGATCAAGAAAAGAATAGACAATCTTACTGAAAAACAGAGCAGACTGTCAACCATCTTAGATGAGGTAGATATCCTGATATGCGTTATGAACTCGGCTAAGGTCACCTAATACACTTAATACATACCAGTTGTAGCCTCAGAACTAAAAGAACTAAAACTGTAAACGAAATCATTGTGAATATACAATTAAGAAGCATTGGCTGAATTGTCAACAAACATTAATGGATAGAAGCAGTCATGAAAATTTCAATCTAATTTTTCAACATTTGTCCATTTTTAAAGCACATATTTGATAGTCAACAAAAAATGTTCACATATTATAATTACTTTTGTAGAAAATGGAACATTGTTTAAGAAAATTTGAGACAGTTTCTGATCTTCTAAGCTCTGGAGGAAAAAGACAGGAAACATCCCCCCTGGTTGGTTCTGCTGTTGCTAAGCAACAAGGTACTGGCTCTAGACCTTCTTCAGGAAAAGCCAAGGAAAGGGAAAACCAGCTTCTACGAGAGATACAGGAAGAGTATGATTTAGCATTTGATTTTTTTAATATTATTTTTATTGATTTGAATATTATTGATTTGAAAACTGTTTCATTAATTTCATGAAACCTGCATCTTTTATTTTCTTACTCTGCTGATTTATTTAATTCCTGAACATATTTCCCAGCACTGTGGCACTGTAAAGTGTCTGCAATACATGTGTCAACCTAAGCATTGAAGTATGCAATATGATAAGTATAGTATAACTTTATAAAATTTTAAGTGTGACATTTTGAATTTTAAAAATATTTGGGTGCACCAAGATAAGGTGGTTGCTGCTGTAGATGTGAAATGCTCAAAATATTTTATATATTGCAGATAGAGAACAAACATGTTTTGAATCTGACGGGTTGCATTGCAGAATGTGAAGCTTTTCTTACTGTTGCATTTTTTCTTTTCCTCAGGTTAAAAGCACTAAATCTTGATTCTGCGGAAATACGCCAGGCCTTTCAGGAGAACACTAACCTCGTCAAAGAGTAAGTTGTGTGAGGCTGGCAATTTATTCCATTGATTGTACTAAATATTTTGTGAGCTAAAATAGAATTGTATATTTTTTATGTATATCATGGTCACTAATTTTTTGCCTTTGTATCATTTTTGAAAGACAAGTTGAATTTGGCTTTTAAAGTAAATGGATAACATGCAAGTTTGTAAAATTAAGAAAAATGTAAAATTTGATTAGACTCAGCAGTCTGAGGCAAACAATATAACCTAACAGTGGCGTGGTTTATTTTCAGGTTGGAAAAACTTCAGTTCCAGAACCATGTTGAGGTACAGTCAGGATGATGAAGGCTATGGTGTGTGGACGTGACGTGTCTGCACACTCCTGTATATTACCTTACATCTTACACCTGTGAACAGCACTGCAGGTGACTCCCTTACTTCAACACCTACAGACCACCTGAACCAAGGTACTGCAAGAGGGACAGGAATCAACCACACACCTGGAATTAACACATGACACACAGCACATAACAAGAGGGCATTAGGAACGTACCTCGCCACCAACTGAACAGGAAGATATAGGGATGGGGGCACAAGGTCAGAGCATAGCAGGGTGAAGGGCATGAAGAACTGGGAATAGAAAACAAGAGGGAGAGAGGTAGTGACAGAAATCGGTGCAAGGTGATTCCACCGTTCACAGCATGGTTGACCCTGTATACAACTAACGCACAGAGAGATTGAAGACATGAGCAATCAAGAATGTGTGAAATAACAATAAAAATGTCTCTTAATTATGTTGAGTTACCAAGCAAAACAGAATAGTTTTGAAAGATGGATCGGTAAGTATAAAGACAAATTAAGAGACCATTCCCACAAATATTTGGATCAATCTATTTCCCCTGGGGAGTCTCACTAAATTGCTATCAACTTGACTGGCTTAAATATCTGTCACGTAAAGCTGTTAGGGGGTAATTATCTCTACCCCCTAGCTGATTCGGTAGGCGTGACAGACATTAAAGCCGGTTAAGTTGATAGCAATTAAGTGAGAATCCCCAGAGAGTTAGACCAGTCCAGATGGATCAATCTAGGTATGAGCACCCAGTCTAAGGGTCTGACAAACAGACAGATGGAACTTAGATGTGATGCAGTGTTGAATACATTATCAGTGAAGCTGATGCTGTTTCTGGCTGTCAGATTTTCCCAAAAAATAAATGAATATATTACTAATGAATTTTCAAAGTTTGTTCTTCTGCAAAAAAAAAAAAAAAAAAAAAATATATATATATATATATATATATATATATATATATATATATATATATATATATATATATATATATATATATATAATCATTATTATAATGATAATAATATAAAAATAGATGGAATTGCTCTGCAGAAAAGTTTTCTTTTTTTTCTTTTCTTAAGGGCATTGCAGACATCTAACACTAAATGATGCAGCTATAATATTCACCCAGAAATTGAAAGTTGATAGCAGTTACTAATTTTGTAATACCAGCGTTTGTTTCAGATATGATTACATTTCATGTGCAGTATAAATCAGAGAAATCGTTTTAAATTTGTTTTAAAAAAATTGATTGTATTATAAATGTATGGTGA